CTTTCGTATTAGTGTTGTACGATGAGATCAAGAAGTACACATAGGCTACCGCCTGTCGCCATGGAAATGCTCCAGGATGCTCGCTCGTCTTAATTTTGCTCTTTACATGTGTGGCAGCCCCGAAAAGATTCTGTACATACTCCGCAGCCGTGACATTTGGTATCGCTGCACAATAATGCAATACATAGCACGCGATTGGATTGTGCAGGTGTACCTAATAACGTGGCCAAGGAGTGCCACATTAAGGCCAACTGTAACAAGCAACTGTTCTAATAAAGATTTAGTTTCTCACCATTTGTTACGATAACAGCCTGTCAATTACTGTTATTTAATTTTTTTTTATACAATTGTAGTTATCACTTTTCTCAAACAATATTACTAATGGAAATATGACATGACTTATTTAACGAGTTGTCAAATGATTGAAAACTGGCATTTTTAAATATAATTTAATTCAAATTTAATGAACCTTACAATTAAATGTAACAGACTGAATTTGATTAAAAATGGCAATTTTATTTAATTTATAATTATAATTTATGTGATTTATAATTTCTTGATAACATTTTAAATGTATAATTCAATAACAAATAATGTGATAAATGTGGTATTTGCATTTTAAACTGTTAGTGTAATGTATGATTGAATTAGATGTTTTTTTTTAAAGATTGCATTTTCTTAATTGGAAAACTACTTTGATTTGCCATCAAATGACTACAAAGTACTATTTAGATTCTTAAAAATATACCATTTTAATGTACAGTATAATTTAATTGCATTTTTGGAAAATGACTATTGTGTTATTTACCCTGCAGTCAGCAATATCCCTGCTATATTTTTCTCGCGTTTTAGATCACTCATACATTTCCTACGGTAAAATAGACACATTTATTAAGGGAATGAAAGACACATTCACGCCGTATGACACATATGACTAACAACAGAAAGGTGGGCGGGCCGCGAGGAGTGCTTTGGACCTGGTTGCGTTGGAGCTTGCGGAGGTGGCTCGTGTTCCTATTTGGGAGGTGCTTCCCCGTATGGAGCTCAAGCCGGCCACTGCGGATGAGGACAACATGTCACGTTTTACACCCGTATACTGTACATCTCATATTCACATTCAAACATGTTACATTTCATAATGTGGACAGGGGCGGAGCCACATGGTGGCCAAGGTTGTCACTCTGGCCACGCCCCTGGCAACCCTCACACCTTGGTGAAAATTTTGATCGCTGTGATTTTTCTGCCATTTTCAGATGGAGGCAGTATTGTAACACCCCTTGATATCAGAATTACTTTCACACCATCGCCAGCAAACAACATGGTGGAGAAGTCAAGTGTTTAACATATCATCCATAGTCATACTTTCATAATTTCAAAAGCACACATATCCAGAATCACAGAAGTGTGATGGGCATTGTTCATTATTTCATGAAATCCTGACTGTGGAAGATATGATAAAGAATGACGCACACATGCACAGCCATGTTGTGTCACCTTGACCATCCCACTGAAAGATTTCTGGCTACACCCCTGCATATGGAATCAAATGTATGTCTCAATTTTCCTGCTTTTGCTGACATTTTGGTGTGTGTGCTGAGGTCATACCGCTGGATGGAAGTATATTGGTGGCTGCGTCGCACACTTCACACGGCGTGGCCTGAAATCTGGCGTGACGTTGGTAGTCAGACAGCTGGTTGGAACGCTTGAGTGTCGGCGTGGACTTGACGTACTCCAACCGCTTTAGGAGGGCCTGCAAAGAAAGCAAAGATACCGTTACGGATACAGTACATTTCTAGAAGTAACCTTCTAACAAGCAACACGTCATCAACATTGCTTATATTGCTGTCAGAAGGCAAAAACCACAAGACTGAATGAAAAGTGTCATGACTCCTTTCAGATTTTCAAACTGAACTCATGTCACACTTCTCTAACGTTGAGACACGTGACTGGAGAAATGAACTTGTGATCTCATTCAATTACTGCACTCCAGGAATAGACAGCGACAATGAGGCGAACGAGCGCACACTCTGGTCTGTGGAAATGACTAATCACACAGCAACGGAACGTATACTGTATTGGCATAAAGATCAAGATGATAGGTAGTTTGGATGATGGGCTGGACAGATTGGATACTGTACTGATATATAATTATGAGTCATAATGTAATCAGTTTTTGGCCATCCTCCATTATCAAGACATCCAAACAAGTTTATGCAATATTGACATGTACAAAATAATGTCCCAACAGTGACTGTCCTTACCAGCTTCTAATTTGCTTTTGTGGGCATGGTGAGAATAAGACAACTAATTGGACTACAGGGCAGCTATGAAGTCTGCATGGCAACAAGTGTCCTTGCGAGCGTGACATGACCACAAAAAAAGAAACCAAAGATTATCTCAATCTTTTACTGCGTATGCCTGACACCAGTTTTTCAGCTATGTAGACCAAGAGATAACTCTTATAAGGCGTATGTACAGTATACTGTGAGAAGAGCCAAAAGAACTGCAGAGGTTGGATTTTCCTACAATGTCACAGAATAGTCCTGCTGTGGTGCACCACCACAGTCCCCACCTGCTGCAATCTGTCCACATCTCTCTAGTGTCTTCTTTCAGTGTGCCCACACTTACCAAAACTCATCTGAGCAACCACCTACACTAAACCTGAAGTCATCAGTGGATTTATTCCAGCATTGTATCCAGAAATACAGCGAGTGAGGCCCTGATTTAGTATAACATAATTACTTGCCATCAGGCAAACTACTCACAACTGCAAAACGATCACTTTCAGGCGGGAAAAAAAAAACCTCAGCATGTTTGTTGAGGAATTAATGTTTCATCATCAAAGACGGCAAACTGTTTTTCAACACTTTAGATTGATCAATAATTTGGGGAGAGAGAGAGAGAGAGAGAGAGAGAGAGAGAGAGAGAGAGAGATTAATATTTGGGACTTGTGTACTGTCGGCTTTGTCGCACCTGTATCACAATGACATCAAACTATCATTATCAAAAACGTGTCTCACTTGGTTGTCCTTATCGATGCGTTTCTGCTCTCGTAGGCGGTTGACGGAGCTGTGGGGGATGTGCGGGGTGGTGTTCTTGCGGGTGAACTGGTTTACGATGGCACCGGGCGCTAAGGAGATTCGGGAAAGCACCCGCAGGAGCCGCTGATTCTCGTGGTCAATGCGTCGGACCTCATTGTTGTTGAAAGTGAAGTTTTTCCTGCTCGGCCGTCCTCTGCAGTGAAGGATGAGGTTGTCCTGAATGAGACTCCCACTGGCAAAAGAGTCCGTGTCTGGAAGAATGTTAAGAATTATTCATCAAGAAGAATTTACTTTTTCCTATGTATTTATTTTATTTTATTTTATTATCTTCCTGCTTGATTATGACTGGAACAGGCGTTGTACTGGATATATGTGATTTTTTTTTCATGAAACCCTGTGTGGTATGATTAAGAATGGAGCACGCAGGCGTGCATGCATGCATGGCAACCCCTCCCTGGGGTGTTGTGTCACCCTGGAGAGTGCCCACCCAGCTGAGAAACTTCCGACGACGTCCCTGTTAAAATGTACTAGTCGACTCAACAAAGAGTATCTCTGCGACACTGCACCTGCATTCAAGGTTCCCTCTGGACGGAGGATGCTGCTGGCTCGGGTCGGGGTCGCACTCTGTCGCCGCTTCCCGTTGGCGCTGCCCTCCCTAGGCTCCACCAACCTGAGGCGCTGCAAAGGTGAGGAGCCCGGACTGTCCCCGTCCTTTAGCGTGTAATCCGACCTATTGGACGTCCTGCTGGGGACACGGGCGGACGGCTCTCGGCCTCTTCTCCTCGAGCCTCCCGGCGAGCTGTAGCGGCTGGACATGGTGGAGGAGCTCGGCGGACGTTTGGCTCGTGAAGACTGCTCACTGGCTGCCTCGGACACCGAGTGCCGGGCGGCGCGTGGCCCCCGGGTGTCTTGCATGCTGCAGTCACTGTCTCGGTCATCTTCTAGCGTCTGGAACGAGCCGCTGGGACCGTCCTCCTCTGCATTTTGCCTGCTGCTACTTCCTCCACGCCGGTCTCTATCTTCGTCGCGGTCGCTGTCAAAAAAGGAGTGGTCGACGTCACCCTCCAAGTCGCTTGGGTTGAACATGGCCGTCCGGGCAACCCTCGAGCGCGGCGTTTGAAACCAGGAAGACTAGGAGGTAGAGGAGCTGGATGACGTCACTTCCCGGCAACGGTTGCTGTGAGTCGCGGTTGCCAGATCGGATGTTTCGTGGAGACACATTTCAAACTCCGAGCTAGGCCGAACCAGCGTCGAAGAGAGCTCGAACTCTGATTTAAAAATCGCATCATCGCTCTCACGCATGTGGTGAAAAAGTGACACAGCGTTTTTATTCAAAGCAGCACACCGATGACGGCTCGCAATTACATCAGCGTGTCAATTACACCGATCAAAGACCTTACGTGTTGATGTCAGCGGATTTAAAGGCTAATGTCAGCCTCTGACGAGTATGACGTTTCACTTGCACCGTTTGTCCACTAGATGGCATTGGTTGTAAACCCACAGGTTGTCATTCCTTTACGATGGAGTAGATGGGAGTAGGACGTAGATTGGAACGTCGTATGTCGATTGAAAAACAGTGTCTGTCAATTTCGTAAAAGCTCAGGAACTCCAGGTTTTGTCCCACTGAATTAAGAAGCACCTGCCTCTGCGTCCTGCTGTAGGATGGTGACAACACAAGTTGGGGAGTTCTCCGCGGGGCCAACGTTGTCACATTTTGTAGTTTTCAGGTTTTTACATGATACGTTTCACGCTTTTACATGATAATTATGACAAAGTAGGATCGGTAAAAAGCAGACATGGTATTAAACACAGACAATATTCTGATCTCTTAAAACTACAAGCACATGATCATAGACATCTTGGAGTTGCTTATGATACTTTCTATGGACACTACAGTATATGTCACATAAATGTTACATCACTGCAATTTGCAGCTCAAATGAAAGCATCTGTCAGCAGTAATTTGATGGACTGATTTAATTAGACAGATCAACTATGTCTACTTACCAGCCACAACAGTTGCACAATCTAATTTAATCCAATAAAATTACATTGTGTGTGTGAGTGTGTATGCTGGATTTATAATTCAAATAGATGTTTCAGATATTATTGGCACTGTATCTAACTAAAATACTGAATAAAATACTGTAAAGTGGACCCAGAGGCTATTTGTAGGGGGTAAAGGACTGAGCCTGACTGCGAAAAGTAATCTGAATAATTGACGTTCCCCTGAAAGTGATTATCGCCTCTAATGATCGTTTGAACCATAAATAAACTACAAACTATGATCCTTTAACACTTTAACAGCATTTCAAATATCCTCAAAATTTGCAGTTTTTACAGACAGCTCTGCACTCATGTACAACTGCGTGTGTACAGTACCCAGCCGGATGTATAATTCTGATGAAGAATTCACTGGTTTTGATGCCTTGTTTAGTCCTAGTTTGGTGAAACTATTGTGAGCCAGAGCGGCCACAATAACAATCATGAGTTTACATACATAGAAAATCAGAACCTGATTTGACTGAATTTGGCTTTTGCATCATCATGGCTTGTACATCAGATTGCTTTTGGCCTCTGGGGGAGACACATATTATAATACGCGGTTTGATCCCAGAACTCAGGTCCTTTCCAGCCACACCAACCCTGAGGAAAACACGAGACACACAAAACCAAAGTCAACAATGTCTGGGAGGGAGACATGTGGAGAAGGAGCAATTTATTTCAAGGCCCACCTTGTCTGTGATGACCTGCAAGTCCTCTGCGCCTGTGTAATGAGGGTCCAGGATGAGGAAGCGAATCTGCCCGCTGGTCTCGCTCCAGGCAACACCCAGAATGGTGTGAGCTAAAACCCCTCCACCTGCAAGGGACAAAGAACCTTTACGTGACAAACGTCAACATATTTTCACCATACAGGTGCATCCCATAAAATTTGTATAATGCAAAACCTTAATTCATTTGCATAGTAAATTCAAAAAGTGACACTAATGTTTTCAATTATAATTTGGCTCTGTAACGCGAACAAAAAACACAAATTTACTCTCAAGAAAATTATGACCTCAGAAATAACTTTTTTTTTTAAATAAAGAAATGAGGTAGGATTTTTTTCTAAAACATTCCCATTTTTTTGAGATGCCCCAGTAATTAAAAATGAAAAGTTTATAATTTGCAGAAAATGTGGTTTGTTTAAGATTTTGTCAGAAAAGCATCATAATTGTTTAAGGCATTTAAGCAAAAGATCAACATTCGCACTTAACCCTTTTTAGGGACAGCGGTTACTACAGTGGACAGCTTATCATGTTATCGGGTTGCTCCCTAGAAATGAATCAAAAGCTTAATAAAATATATTTACTTACAGACTTTGCACCTGAATGGGCGTATGAGAGGATGGAGCAGAATTTAATTCACGCAGAATGACGTTCTGAATGTACTAAACATCATTTATGGTTTCATGCAAAAGTAAGATTATATCTGTATTTTATCAACAAAGCTCTGGACGATTATTATTATTTTGCAAAGGCCTAATATCGGCTGATATTAGTCAAGCATAAGTACACTTCATCAAATTCAATGAAAATATTTGAAACAGCTGTCAGAATCAACATCACAGCAAAGTACAGCCACATTAATAAACAATGCAGAATTAAGGCCTAACAGTGTCAACCAAAATTGAACCCAGTTTTGTGACTACAGCTCAGAATGGCTCAAATAAGTGTGAGCAGGTGTACCTAATGAAGTGGGCGCTGGGTGTATCGTTTTAAACATGTTTGAACGTCAAAGTGAAGAGCTCACCAATCATCACGGGAGTGCCCTCTGAGAGGAAGTGGTTGGCCAGCTCTCTGCCTTTGGAGGCCATTTCAGAACCCTGACTGAAAGCACACGTATTCACCGCTCCGTAAATCTATAATCGGAATCCATCAGAGCGGGGTGCTTGTCAGACAAACCTCACAAACGAAATCTTGGACGTGACCCCGAGGAGTTGGTTGAGGACGGCGTGAACCTCAAAGGATCCAATCCACTGACGAGACCCCACAAAAGACCCTTGTTTGTCACCAACATCCACTAAAGCCTAAAACAAAAATGTATCATACAGAAATAAACTACAATGTCAATGCATTCAGTTTTAGTAACAATTTAATTTCAGAAAAAGCTTCATTTTAGTGTAGTTTTTTAATTTTATTTATTTAAATGTACGGAGTATTAGTCGAGTGCAAGGTAAAAAAAAAAGTCGAAAAAGCTATTGCGTAATAAGGTAAACTACAGTTCTCAAACGGCTGTTTGATCTGTCTTCTGTGCGGACGTATAGCAATACCAATATAAAACAATGGACATCTTTACTATAATTATAGTTTGTTTTGCTTCGTTTAAGAAACATAAGATGTCATTTCAGTGAGTTCGCTTTTTTTTTGTAAAGCATTTTCATTGTAGTTTTTTTGTTAGTTTTCATGAACTATAATAACCTTGCCTTGCACTTTGTGAAAGTAACTACATTAAAAAAAACACTCCATCCAATTCACATTACCTGCTGGATCTCCTTGTGAGTGGGCACGGGCCGCTCAACGTAGCCTTGCTGTTGAAACCAGGAGCAGATGGTCTGCAGGGAGCGATAAGCGCAGCCCCAGCCGTTGTCGTCCATGCGGTCCTGCATGTAGTGGTGGTAACTGTACAGCCCATGCACCAAGTACACCTGAACCAAACACATCTCATCAGGACTACTCTTCCATCTGAGTAAATACTTCAATAGATTTACCTTTCCGTCGTCCAAGGTAGGATGTGTGAGAGCCAGGTGAGGGTTTCGGAGATAACCGTCTTTGTAGAGTTCATTAGGGAAGTGATAAGCATTGGCTCTTCTAAAATAGGGTCTGTCTTCTGGTAGCTCAAAGCGCTCATGCAGCTCCTACTCATGTAGCAAAAATTATCGGAAAATATTGCAGAGTCCATATTAAAAGATGACGTGCTTTGGGATGTTTCAGACACACAACAAATACACTGAAGAGTACATGACTGAGTGGGAAGGACAAGTATGTTCCAAAATGTAATCTGCTGGATGTTGTGTGTCATTCACGTACCTTACGCTGGGGCTCGAGCTGGCTGTCGGGTACCCCAGCAGGATAGACTGCCGTCACCAGTCCTCTGGATTCCGGAAGCAGAAAGTGGAAAGGCTCCGGGACCGATAGCGTGGTGCCCTTCATGTGGCACAGCATCACACGCTCCATCTCATGCAGTTGATGCGTTAGCGCCTCCAACAGGCCCTCAAAGGCACTGCATAATGAGATAGCTTCGTGTTTTAAAATGTAAGATTTTAATCTGTTCTTTGAAACAAAAGAAAATCTTTTCATTGGGCCGGTTACTCTTTGATGGTGTCAGCGGAGCGGATGTTGACAACACAATCCATGGGAAGAGTTGTAGACAGGAAGTGGGACTTCTGGATGGTTTTGCAGAGGATGGGTGCAGGGAGGGGACCTGGCTTTGTCACTTCCATCATCAGGTTTAGGCTGATCACTCTCTGAATGGAAAACAAATTGGTGATGTGATGAAATCTTCTCATGTACATTCTGTATAATGTACCTTCATAATAACAATTTGTATTGTAAATTGCATCGAGCACTGTGAATAGTGTAGTGTAGTTGTCATATTGTACAGCTATTATACTTATTATTCATAGTCAAAGTCATTGCCTGTTCGTAGTCGATACAAATACATCATCTCATGCCTTACATGCTTCATTTATTGAACTGTATAAATTTTTTTAATGCTTATACACTTCGGCTTAGATGCAATCATTATTTCCTGCCTTGTACTTGTGATGTGAAATGACAAAGCTGAATTTGATCTATTTTTCAAACTGTCATTGTCATAGAGCACGGAAGAAAAATATAAAATACAAAATGACAAAATACAAAATGTTCACATACAGCTACTGAGCTCTTTTTGCCCTTCTTTTTCGCAGACCTTTTGCCAGCCATCTCTTGTTCATCTGTCCTGAAACATAAGCAAAACAAAATGGAGACAATTGGAATGGGTGTCAGAAAAAAACAGAAAGAACTTACTGTATCCATTTATGTAGTTCTTCACACATTGTGCTTGTGGTTATTTCTCTCGGAGTTACATGAACACCTTTATTTGGCCAAATAATAACTGGGCTGTCCTGGACTCTAAGGACGCAGGATTCCGAGTTGACGTGATAGCGTAGGTTCTCAAATGTTCTTGAGATGGCTTTACGCACGAGCGTCACTGAAACAAAAAACATTGCGCATTGTGTGTTATTTTATATTGATTGCTTTGTTTCATATTGTATTTGAGAGATAGTTGACAAAAATATAGTGACAAAAAGAACTATTTATTCCTCTATTTGAGCTATTTTCATCCATGCATCTATTTGTTTAAGGCATGTCCTCATTAGGGTCGCATGTGAGTTGGAGCCTATTCCAGCTGATTTTGGGCGAGAGGTAGCAAACTCCCTGGGTTGTTCGCCATTTAATCACAGGGCACATAGAGACAAACATCAAGCATTCACATTTACACTTGTGGAACATTATAAGTCTTATATTAACCTATAAACGTGTTTTCATACAAAATTAATTTAACCGCACAGACTTGCGTTATTAAACGGAGAACATACTAATTGAGAGAAATTTGAACATTCATTCGTATTTAATGAAATTCCATCATACCATCCGTGCTATCCAGGATGCATTTGAGCTCCAGCGGTCCTCTCACACGGAGAAAGTCTCCTGTCTCGATGCCATTTGAATCCACAATCTGAAATAAAACAAATTAGAAGCTGGGGGTGGAAGTTTTGCATTTACCATGTATCTGGACAGCAAGTGACTACGCGCTACTCAACCGACGGCTTTCTACGTGACAATAACAAGCTCGGTCAACATTTTCACAGAGTGCTTTTTATATCATTAACATGCCCACCATGGTCATTTTTTTGTTGGGGAAATATAGAAACACGGAGCGAGGTAGTCTATTCACAGGAGGCTGCCATGTCTGTTTGACAGTACTTCAACGTGTCTCTTTCCGCGTCAGCTGATTGGACGATACCAGCGCTGCCTACTAGTGTTGCATTCATGGTAACTCGTAATTTTGGCTAATCGAAATGGAACGTTCACTGAGAGTGGCTCGATTGAATACTTCTGCGTAAATGTACCGGCAATGATTATTGTCGATAAGAGAAGCTCTTTTCACGTTCCACAAAAATATAACACCTGAACAAAACGGGAATAATTCTGTCACCGTGTTCAGAAAAGGAGCGATACTATGCATTTTTCACACGTTTCATTCGTTGTAGAATGAATGTACAGAACTAGACCTCTATGACCTTGTCAGCCAACTTTAATCTTTTGTTCAAGACCAAGGTGTCACCTGCCACGGTCACGCCGTCGAGTTTGCTGTCATAGACGGGCTGGCCGTCATTTGTCCACGCAATGACTATGTTGTTGTCACACACGGTGATGACTTTGACTTTTGTTTTGCCTTCGATGGTGGCAAGTTGCCACCATCGAAGGCCCATGGGGAGTGTTGCCACTGGCAACACTCCCCATGGGTTTGTTTGGACCCAGACCGTTTTTGGGTCGGCTCTTTCTGGGAACAAACAGGGAACAATACTTTTAAGTGGTGCGCGGCCAGCACTCGGCATTCTCGACTTTTGTGCTCGCATGCAGGAGACTCTCTCTCCCTGTTAATGCGAACAACAGCCTTTGTTGCCCATCGACTATTGCTTGCCTAAGAATGTGTCTACTTTGGAGAACAAGCATGTTCAGCAGCTGACAAGAAAAAAAATCTTGGTATGTTTTGGTCTTTTAAACAAGTAGGAGTCATACTGTATCAAGAAATGTTGTCATTCCAACACCGTTCATCTAATTTGGATTTCTGCTCTCAGCTAATGCTCATTTAATTTCAAATCCATTGTGGTGAGTGTTTCAAGCCAAAAAGGTGAGGATTGTGTCCCTGTCCCAATATTTATGGACCTGATTGTATCTTGTCTATGATGGGTTGAAGATAAGTACCTGAACTCTTACCCAAAGTTCTCTGGCATAGGCTGCAGCACACCCGCGCTCTTTGATTGATGGCTTTGTACAGGTAGCGAAAAGAAACAATAAAACCATGAAAGGCTACGGCAGTTCTTGTCTTGCAATGTCTCATAAACGCTAATAATTTCTTTTTATTCTTTCTATAACTCGGTGGTGGCCTCGGCCATCCATTATGGCATTGTCTGCTGGTCAGGCAGCATCTCGGCCCGGGACAGGAAGAGATTGGAGCGACTAGTCAGGAAGGCTAGTTCTGTCCTGGACTGCTCCCTCGACACTCTGGAGGAGGTGGGCAACAGCAGGATGCTAGCTAAGCTAAAAGCTATGTTGGACAGTCCCTCCCACCCCCTCCAGCCCGCCCTGACAGCACTCGGTAGCTCCTTCAGTCAGAGACTGTTACACCCGCGTTGCAAGACGGAGAGATACCGCCGCTCGTTCCTACCGACTGCTGTCAGGCTGCTGAATAAAAAATGAATAAATAAATAAATCATAAAATTATTTAAATGATATGACAACAAATGTGAATGTGAATAGTACTGTGACTATTGTATTTATATTGCACTTAATTGAACTTATTGACCTTATCCATATTTGTATTTATATTGCACTTAATTGAACTGTGTTTTCTTTTCTCTTCTTTCTACCCACAATCTTGCTGCTGAAGGCTGTAAATTTCCCCAGTGTGGGACAAATAAAGGATATCTTATCTTATCTTATCTTAATATATCTTTGGAATCAACGACATTAACGTATCCTGACCACAGAACCCAGAGGGATTCAATAGCCTGTCATAGAGTGTATATATTCAAATTCAACAGTGTGGAGGCTGTACATCTATAAATGTGCGTCTCTACTGGTAGGTCAGCATCTATAGGATGGAGTGAGGCATACAATATCTAATTATTCCAGCATCAATGCCCATGTCACCCATCCAATGCAACTTGGGACAACATACATTGACATTTCCTTGATTGCATTGACATTTACAAGATTTCATTGATAGTCTGTTTCTAGTGGGAAACCAAAGCTCGTACGATTTTCACTGTAACAGAGAAGAGCAAAAGTGTTTCTTCGTGCTTTGCTTGTTTGCCTCGGGCAGCAGCACAGCAGCCATGCATGCAAGACCAGGCAGATTGAGTGGACACAGCGTTGGAGAAAGTGTGTAGCAGCGCTGTGATGTGTGGTACAAATGCGAGCTTGAAATTCAGCATCACAGCAAAATTATTATTTTTTTGAATAATTATGATCAAAATGAAATACAAGCTAGCTAAAATGAAAAAACCCAAACTGTCACATGGCGGTGTCGGTAACAAAAATTATATTTTTATCCTGAGGAATAAAAAAACAGAAAAAAAAGAAGGATCTATTTCAAGTATGGTACTTATTTCTTCCAATGGACATAATCCATTCTTGTGGAGGCCACCATTTCAGGAAATATGGTATGTTCTTTTCCGACATTTGCTTCATAACAGTTCATAAGTCTCAGCTGAAAACGATGAGCATTTACTGTAAACACATCTCGTGGAGCGCCCCATATGAATGCCGCAATCTATTTGGAACCCGTTTTGCTTGACGTTGACCTCATGCAGCTCAAGCTGGAATCTAGTGCTGTTTATCCCCGGTGAAATCTCACCATGCCGGCGGCCATGATTTGCAACAGTGCCGTTGCTATCTTTTCCTGAGTTTCATAAACAGGATCTGTGCACTGACTGAATATACAGCATATGGCACGCGCTTTGTGCTCGAAACGCCAGGCGTCCATGCACATCCAGTATAAGCATCGTGTCTATCTTTTGTTTGAGTGTGGTGACATCTAGATGTACACATCATGAAAACCGGGTGCGTTATTTTTCAGATCGAGAATTCCTGATACATGGTCATGAAATGTACAGTCCCCTCCAAAATGGCAAGGTCACTAATTTTGTTTTTGCTGTCTCCCAAAGACATTTGGGTTTCAGATCGAAAGATGAACATGAGACAAAAGTTCAGAAATGCAACTTTTATTTGAGTATTGCAAAAGTATTAGAACCGACATTATTCAATTAACTTAACGTAAAGTAAATACCATTTAGAGTAATATGTGGTGGCATAACCCTCACTTGCAGTAAGTGCAGAAAACTTGTGACCCATCGACTTCTCCAAACTTTTGCATTCTTCATTTGGAATACTTTTCCAGGCCTTTATTGCAGCCTCTTTCAGTTGTCGTTCATTAAATTGCTTAGGGGGTAATATTGTTGCGGCATGCTTTGTCTGGCAAGTTTAATGTGTTCTGTACTGGCACCATTCTTAGTCTGAAGCTTAACATAACAGCCTCCTTCAGTCAATTTATATCACATTACACTTGCGGATGCGCTAAGAACAACAACAAAAAAAATGTTAAGTGTCTTTTGTCATGATTGTCAATTTTTCACAGCTTCTTCAAAACATTTATAATCCACTCACTATATATCAACAAAAATACTGGCATTTGACCACTATCATTTTCTGTTGTCCGCCCTAACTGGGAGTTGAACCCAATTTTGGTCAAAAAAATGGGCCGATCTGCTAAATGGGTCAATTTCCCCAAACCTTGAGTTGTTTTGTATAAAACAAATTGTCAAGTTGGGTCAAACTGACCCATGTAATGGGTCGGTCATATTTGTCACCAAAATAGAGTTATTTTTGACCCAGTAGTTTTTGAGAGCATTCTTTAAACTGACCCCAAAATGTTCAAAATGGTGCGCAGCTTCAACTCTTTCAGCCTGCCCAAACCCAGTTCTCAAGCCAGTCTGCCGTGTTAAAATAATGAACCCAACCTTGGGTGAAAATAACCCAATTTGCTCAAAATCCAACCAACGAGTGGGGTAGGAAAACAACCCAGCATTTTGTGTGTGGAAGAAGCATGTTTTTGGAATGTGGAAGGAAGCCCGGAGGACATGTCAACTCCACAGCACACATCTAGGCCAGAGCTGGAATTTCAAAACAAGACATCAGAACTGTGAGGCAGACGTGCTAACCACTACACTACCATGCTACAGCCAATTGCATATTAAGTGAGGGGGGGAAGTCTATTGCATGCAAGAAGTCGTCTGGAAATAACGTCTCCTTGCTGATAGGTCGCTCAGCTCCACCAGCCCTGCTTGAGCATGGATTGGCCTGCAGCTCTCTGCCTACCCCTCCAACATCCCCCTCCTCCTCCTCCTCCTCTTCCTCCCCCTCCTTCTGCTGCTCATTGGCTTTTTTTTTTTTTTGGTTTTGTTTTTTTTGTTTTTGTTTTTTTTATGGGTGCTGATCGTTCTGTACCACCATCAGTCCAAAGAAGCAGAGTCCAGGAGAACATCGCATCACCCCTTGGAGGAGGTGGTTGAGGATTGAGTGAGGACAGGACGTAAAGACCAAAATAAAATGCGCGCACCAGAAGACGGCATTCTGGCGCGTCTGTCTGCATGCACAATGAGCTCAGCGCCTGTGTGGTGAGGACATCGCAGCACCGGTGAAGATGTTCTGCGCCAGGTTGAAGGAGCTGAAGATATCCGGAGAGTGTCCTTTCTCCAAAAGTGACCAGCAGCAGCAGCAGCAGCAGCAGCAGCAGAAAGAGGAGAAGAGGGAGGAGGAGGAGCAGCGTGGAGATGCCGGGGAGAGCTCGGTCGCACACGGCAGGAGAAGTGCGCACGAACCCGCACAGAAGAGCAGCAGAGCCAAAGTCAACCTACATACCCTCGGAGAGAGCATTCGCAAACTGGCGTGTCCCCAGGTGGGTGTGAGCGGGCGCTAAATATAAGGAGCTTTCAAAGAAATACAAATTGGCTGCCATTTTAGGAATGTTCTATTTTATCTGCCCCCCGCCACCCCCACCTTCCCAATTAAAGACGCCTCTTTAACTTTACAGTTTCAGAGGCTGCACGTTGCCCTCCAAAGAATGATGAGGCAAAGCAAGGAAACGGAAAGGTAATATTTTATATTTGGTACTTTTCCTCTCGGTGAGAGCTCCTCAGAACAGATTGGGGAATGT